GTTAATAATGCACCGTCATGCATGTGGGTGGTCACCTCGCTGGGCTCCTGAGAGGAGCAGGCCAGTCTTCACCATAAAATGGCAGCTCAGCCAGTAGGAAATGCAGACACAGACCAATATTCTTGTACGAGAGCTACACGAACTGAGCGAATGCAGCGGCCCTAGTCTCCCGGACGAACAGCATTAGTCACCGAACCTCAGTATGAAATCCTGCCGTCTCAGTTAAGTCGGGGCTGCTAATGAAATACAACTTTTCGCTTAATTACCGATGTCAAAATAATTAATTAAATTATAATTACTCGGCAGGAATCGTATAAATTCTACAGGAACCAGAAACCATAATAATCAATAATAATTATCCTGCTTAATGAGTCTGCGACGAAATTGTCTAGAGATTTTTGTTAATTGTAAAAAAAAGAAGAAAGAAATAGAATTATTTTAATAGGGAAGTGCGGGGGCTTAACGGGGGGCGTCGAAGTGTGTCACACAGGAAATCTGTACAACGTTAACTGTGTTTTGTGTTCCTCAAAAATTCAGTACACGGTAGCAGTTTAAAATAACCTGAAAAGTAGACTGAGGATGAAACATCAGTGAGCCACAGAAGGGATAATTAAGATCTTAGGTAGAAAAACATCATTAACATAATCAATGGAGATGAGGAGAAAATAAAACAGAAAATTGTTTCCATTTATGTTGAAATGATCCTGCTTTAATTCAGGGGAAATGTAATGAAAACCCGACTGTGGATTTATTATTTTTTTTCCGGGATGGTACCGTGAACAACAAATAAATAATGTTTAGGATTAATATTCCCTGACAAAAATACTTCTAAAAAGACTTCCATGTAACGATGTTTCCAGTAGCCTATAAATGAAAATAAATTCTAAAAAATTAGAAAAATACTTTTGAAAACACAATTCCTGTTTTTTTTTTTTATGGATTCCCGGATGAACTAAAGAGTGAATTCATAAGACGGTAAGATCAATTGCAGCGCAGTGTGTACCGTAACACTGGGGGTCTCGTCGGCCGGGGTGCGGATTCCGCCTTCCACGACCCCTGGCTGCTGCCCCCATGGCTCACGGTGCCACCCTGAGGCCATGGCATGAACTCAACCGTGCAACCGAAGGATGTGACTATAGAGCAAAACGTGATCCGAATCTGAGTTCCACTGCTCATGCCTTTCATCCAGTTTCCTACAGATCATTTATTGCAAAGGCGTATGGCACGCTTTGAGTTTGGTCAAACCTTTGGATTGTATAATGACTGACACACATAAACAAAATCAGTGTAAATATTAAATGATTTCTCCTTTGGGATCGTTTTGCTGTTAAGCAATTTATGAATCAAGCACAGCAATTATACGGCAAACAAGCCATCGAATGTGGATAGGGGAAGCGACCCCTCACAGCCCCTCTGGGTATCTCCCCTCGTCTGCCAATCACGGCGTCAGGAAGCTGATTTCCCCGGGGAGCGCGGCGTCGCGAATTTCTTAGGCAGTAGAAAATAAAATTAATAACGGCGCACGCAGAAGCCACCGGCGCATAACTCAGATCGCTCCGTCAGGCTGCAGCTGAACCGCCGCCAGCCCGTGCACTTTATCTACGGTGGGGGAATTCACCGCCTTCAATTAGCGTGTGAAGGAAGGGGGCGGTGACGCAACGGCGACCCCGAAAGGGCCCGGTAAATACTGCGCCGGAACCCGTCACAGAAATAATTCTGCTGGAGTCACAAGAGCCTGTTTTCTTTGTGTCGGTTCTGGCTGTATTAAAACATCCCTTTACTAAATGATCAGGGTCTGATGTTTCAGTTGTTTACTGGAATACCTTAAACGCCAGAGACAAAAACAAAGAAATACACAAAGGCCTCGTGATACTGTATAAATGGATAAATGATTATAAGATGAATGGATGGATGGAAAGCCAGGGTAGGATTCCAACCCACAGCCTTGCAAGTGAGATAGTGTGCTCAGCTTCCCGAGAAACACATGTATCCAAACTGATGTTAAGTAAACTGTCAGTTTCCTATCAGCTTGAAGCTTACTTTTCTTTGTACTATTTAAGTTAATCGAAGTCCAGCGTTTTGATGTATGACTTTTGAACAGAGAGTAGCCTACGGATGTACCCATCCTTCTGAATGGTATGGAAATCAGAAAGTGCTTCAAAAAACATGACTTCAAACTGTTCCATTTGACATGGTGTCTGAATTGATGCTAGAATATGAAGAAAAAAAACAACAAACCATGGTTGTACAAAGATGTGTGACAGGCAAATTAAAAGTATGTGTCTGCATCCCTAGGTAGATGGCATGAGGCTCACTAAGACTGCAAATATGGAGCGGAAATTTGCCACATGTTGGATTAATAATACATCTCACTTTATTAGCACCGAAGGGCTGAAAAAGATTGGGAAATGAAATATGAGTTAATAAATATATCATGAATTGAAGGAATGCTCTGTATAAAATTCTTCTTGAAGCTGAAGTTTTGTGATTTTTAAAAATGATTTTAATTTTTTTTTACTTTCTTACTTTTAATTTGTGGAAAGTGAAAATATGTGGTATTTTGTCAAGATGGCATCCTGAAATGCAGTGGTCTGCATACACTCAAGAAAACATATATTGGCTATGCAGTGGTGGCTCAGTGAATAGTGCTATGTATTCATTCCACTCAGGGTGAGCTTTTGAATTTTACCTCTGGTGTGTGTGTGTGTGTGTGTGTGTGTGTGTGTGATGGAGGGGGCATGTACACTTATATGGATAAAAGTATTGGGACACCAGGCCATTACACCTACAGGAACATTTATGCCATCCCACTCTCAATCCATAGGCATCAATATGGAGTTGGTCCCCCCTTAGCAACTATAACAGCTTCCACTCTTTTGAGAAAACTTTCCACAAGATTTTGGAGTGTGTCTGTAGAAATTTCTGCCCATTCATCCCAGAAGAGGATTTGTGAGGTCAGGCGCTGATGTTTAACATGAAGACCTGGCTCACGATCTGGAGTTGAGGTCAGGGCTCTGTGTTGGCCAGTCAGATTCTTCCACACCAAACTCACTCAACCATGTCTTTATGGACCTTGCTTTGTGCACTGGGGCACAGTCATGCTGGAACAGAAAAGGGCCTTCCCCAAACTGTTCCCACAAAGTTGGAAGCATAGAATTGTCCAAAATATCTTGATATGCTGAAGCATTAATAGTTCCTTCACTGGAACTAAGAGGCCTTGCCCAGTCCCTGAAAAACAACCCCTTACCATTATCCCTCCTCCACCAAACTTTAAAGTCGGCACAATTCAGTCAGGCAGGTAACGTTCTCCTGGCATCTGCCAAACCCAGACTCATCCATCTGACTGCCAGACAGAGAAGCGTAATTCATCACTCCACAGAACAGGTTTCCACTGCTCCAAAGTTCAGTGGCAGTGTGCTTTACGCCACTCCATCCGACGATTGGCACTGCCCTTGGTGATGTAATGCTTGCATGCAGCGGCTCAGCGATAGAAGCCCATTCCATGAAGCTCCCAGTGCACAGTTTTTGTGCTGGAGTTAATGCCAGAGGAAGTTTGGAACTTCTTGTTATTGAGTCAACAGAGCGTTGGCGACTTTAACGTACTATGATCCTCAGCACTTGGCACCCCTGCTCTGGTCGTTTACGTGGTTTACCACTCCGTGGCTGGGTTTCTGTTCTTCCCAATTGCTTCCATTTTGCAATAATATCACTTACAGTCAACCATGGAATATCTAGCAGGGAAGACATTTCACGTATTGACTTATTGTAAAAGTGACATCCTATGACAATATCACTGAGCTCTTCAGAATGACCCATTCTTTCACAAATGCTTGTAAATCTGACTGCATGGCTGGGTGCTTGGTTTTATACACCTGTGGCAATGGGTCTGAATGAAACACCTGAATTCAGTGATTAAGAAGTGTGTCCCAATACTTTTGTCAGTATAGTGTATATATTCCATTGTGTGGACCATATGTTCCCACAATGTGAATAAAAACTGTCATTTTGACCTTGTGGGTGACATTTTTCCATTTCCCACAAAGGGAAACTCAGTTTTGTAAAAATTTGTGAATGCAATCAAAAACTAAAAATGCCAAAAGTCTTGTATTTTTTGTTTGATTACTTGTGGTTAAGGTTAAGTATAGGTAGAGGTTAAGCTCGTCATTGTTGGGTATAGAGTTATGCCCATATGAATGGAAAATCCCCACAATTATATGATTACAAACATGTGTGTCTGTCTGTGTCATTGTGTGTGTGTGTGTGTGTGTGTGTGTGTGTAGAGTGTGTATGTTCTTTCCTGCCTCGTGGGGTTTCTGCCTACAATCCAATGACATGCAGGCGAATTGGCATCTCTGATTTGCCTGCAGCATTCCAGCGATGGACCGATATCCTGTCCAAGGTGCACCCCTGCCGTGCGCTCATGCTGCCTGGATTAGGGTCCAGACCCCTCTGTGAAGCTGTCCAGGATAAGTGGTTGCAGGATGGATGGATAAATGTATGTCTTGTGCCAACCAGGAACCAGCCACACTTCCATTCCTCAAAGACTCTTTCTTTTCTATAAGCGTCCTTCCACTTTTCTTAAATATGAGGGCCAGTTTCATTATATAACCATGGTGATGTCTAAGTGAGTCAGCAGTTTGGTCTTGGATCCGAAGTCCAATTAGGCTAAAAGCTTTACTGGCTACTTTTAAACTTTCTTGTATCAATAACATCCATGATTCCAACCCCTCTAATACTCAACAAGGGAAGAAACTTCTAGCTAATTAAACATGTCCATAATCTTTGAACCCTGATAAGATAAATGGGTCATTTCAGTCTCTTGTCAGAATCTTTTTTCACACCTTTTGTAGCAGCAAAGAAGGATTAATTTCACATACTTTGTAAACAGGGCCAAGTGGACATTTGTTTCCTTGGGAATGGAGCGGAAGAGTGCAATTAGAGTAGGTGTCTCTTTGCATAGACAGACCCTAATTACCATTTGCTGCTTGTGTCCCCCATAGGCTATGGGCATGCAGCCCCGGGCACGGACGCTGGGAAGGCTTTCTGCATGTTCTACGCGGTCCTGGGCATCCCACTCACACTGGTGATGTTCCAGAGCCTGGGTGAGCGCATGAACACCTTCGTCAAGTACCTCCTGAAGCGCATCAAGAAGTGCTGCGGCATGCGGATCACGGACGTTTCCATGGAGAACATGGTGACGGTGGGCTTCTTCTCCTGCATGGGCACGCTGTGCATCGGGGCTGCCGCCTTCTCCCACTACGAGGACTGGAGCTTCTTCCAGTCGTATTACTACTGTTTCATCACATTGACTACCATAGGATTTGGGGACTTTGTGGCTCTTCAGAAGAACCGGGCCCTGCAGAGGAAGCCCCTATACGTGGCCTTCAGCTTCATGTACATCCTTGTGGGCCTGACGGTCATCGGGGCCTTCTTGAACCTGGTGGTCCTTCGCTTCCTGACCATGAACAGTGAGGACGAGCGGCGGGACGCGGAGGAGCGGGCCTCGCTGGCGGGCAACCGCAACAGCATGATCATCCACATCCAGGAGGAGTCCCAGCACGGGAGGCAGCGCTACAAGGGCGACGTGACGGACCTGCAGTCCGTCTGCTCGTGCATGTGCTACCGCTCGCACGAGTTCACCAGCCGCGTCGTCTCCCAGCAGAACTCCTTCAGCTCCCAGCTGAACCCCCAATACTTTCACTCGGTCTCCTACAAGATCGAGGAGATCTCCCCCAGCACCTTGAAGAACAGCTTCTTCCCATCTCCCGTCAGCTCGGTCTCTCCCGGCCTCCATAGCTTCACAGACAATCACCGACTAATGAAAAGGCGGAAATCGATTTGAGCCTACAATAACGTTTAGCTTTTCGATTTATAACTTAGATTCCAAATGCTGCTCCCACCAAATGTAATTTTAGCACTTTTTTTTTGGGTTCAGATACTGACACACATTAATGCGCACACGCAAAAAAAGACACACCAACACACGTTTGGTTTGCATCACTCACGGCTGAGGGATGCAAGGCATGACGCATGGATATATAAATGTCTTTTTTCGCTTTATTTTCCTTCCAGACGATTTAAAAAAAAGATCATACCTTATTATCTTACACATGCAACACATTCACCCTCCCACTTTGGACGGGTTCGAGTAATACCGTGTCATACCCACTCCTGCATCCTAAATCTTCAGTTAAAGGATGGGTGGAGGGAATTATTTTCGAAGTGCATATGTCTGTTTTACCATGACTTGAATTGATCGCAGCTGTGCGATTCCAGTGCCACAGTAGAGACAGAAATAATTTTAAAATGACTTTAAAGCATCAAGTATTATTTTCTATAAGCAATTATATTTAGAAAAAGGAGACTGGATTCTTTTACATCGATGTAATCATGCCAAAATACTAGCCAACCAGAGCATGTGCATTAAATGTCAAAAAATGGGTGTGCGATGGATATTAGAATTTATTTCAATTTATTTTTCATTTTCTAAAAGGAGATTTAATATATGGTATATGTATCTGTACATATGGTTTTTTCAGATCGTGTAAAAAGGGCAAAGGGGAAGCGTAGGTTTTTTTAAAGCTTGCCAGTTGTTGGATGCATGTACTTTATAAAATTGGTTTGCTTACTGAGAAAGAGGAAAAAAAGAATAGAAATCTAGCAGTTGAATTAAAAGTTAAAAGCAAATAACCTTGGAATGTTTTTTTTTAGAGAAATATCTTGTTTATTCTCTTTTTATTTCCCACTTTATATAATTTCGATAACTAAGGCTAGACAAAACTGTATCGCATCTTTGCTTTCTGGCTGTTGATTAAAATGTCTTATTTGTTAAAGAGACGAATGATGTGATATGGGTTATTGTAATATTTGCTCTCAGGTTTAGGATGGATGGAACTCTTTTTGCTTTCTAACACTGGAGCGACGGTATCTGGCGTTTTTGAATATTAATGCTGAGCTCTCCCGTCTGCATGACATAGACATATCAATCTTTTTGTTTCTTTAAAAGGTAAATGTAAACATTTTCTCAGGAAAAGCTCATTTGAGATGCATCATCTTGTTACGTGAGGTTTCCTGCCAGATCGAGTGTGTTTTGGCTTAGCTGTATACCACAGTGCCGCCCTCGGTGCGAGTGACTGTGTTTCGGCTAGCTGTATACCACAGTGCCGCCCTCGGTGCGAGTGACTGTGTTTTGGCTTAGCTATATACCACAGTGCCGCCCTCAGTGCGAGTGACTGTGTTTCGGCTAGCTGTATACCACAGTGCTGCCCTCGGTGCGAGTGATTGCAGAGCTGCCGAGGGCTGGAATACTTTATGAGCAATTCTGTAAGAGGGTTAGTAGCAAACGCAGGAATCCCGGCATTAAATGGCCACGCCTACTATTCAGCCTGATGTCAAGGATGGGAAGATAAACACAATGGTGTGTCAAGGAACGATCGAGGGAAAGAGTCATTTCTAAAACCACATATCACAAACCTCCTTCTCCTCCTCCATTCCATGGGCTGTTAAGGCTGCCTTTGTAAATAATAACACTGTAATTACTGTGTGATACCTTAATACTCTCCGGCAAAGCAGAACGGTGCTGAGCCAAATGGATGATGTCATCCTCATAGCGTTTCTGAGCCCCCATAGGTTCATTTGACACACTGTTTGTTGTTTTCTTTCCTTTTTCACATGAATGTGCTCATTGAGTTCACATCAGGGTAGCACTGTTTAGCATCATTGTTTTTCTCTCACCATGTGGATCGTTATATAAGGGAGACGCAACCTGTATTTTCCACTATATGTAAGAAACTTGACTGCTATCAATGTGACTGCCATAGTACACCATTGTGCTTCTCTGGAGTTTAACCCTTGTGTCTGGCCAGCTGCATATGAACTTTGGCCAGAAGGGTTCAAACACAATTGTCTACAGTGGAATGACTCTTCCAACTGGCTATTCGTTATGATATATTTTATGATGAAATTTTCTATGAAAGGCTTGGATGTGCATGGTATACATTCCAGGGATGACAAAATGCTGTGGAAAACTTATAAAATAAACATAGATATTTATTTTGGGCTTGTAACATGTAAGTTAATTTCTGAATGATTCTGACTCACAGTTTGGAAATGGTAACTCATTAAGGTCTTACTTTGCAACTGACCAATTCCACCCCCTCAAATTATTGAACAAGCTTATATTTTATTAAGGTAGAGGTAAATGTAATATACTGATCTAAATAAAAGATTTTATAAATAATATATAGTATTATAGGACATTATCCACTATAATTTAGAAAGTGCAAAATGAATTTGCTTTTTAATTTTCCTATTTCCTTTTGTGTATGATTTACACTCCTGCCGTCATCTGTTCCTGTGCCATTCAATTTATCAGGTCATATATTTTGATACTGTGTCTAGAAATGGTGTTATATTTATCTCAAAGAGCAAAACTGTAGTTAAAATTAGCTAAACTCAGAGCCCATTGGCCAACACCAGCCCCGCCCCATGTGCAGGCTAATTTAAATAATTCCTCTCTATATTTTGTAACCAATCAGGACTCAGAAAAATTGATAGAAATTCCAGTTCATGGGAAAACCTTTTTTAAACTCTTTTTGATGCAATCTCTTCAACGCTCTAATAGGAAAAATCAAGGTGTCTTTATTTTCCATTTAAACCTTCACTGTATGAATAGCGCACATAGTGACTGCAGTTACAGTGACTACAGAATTGCTCATAAACGTTGGATCCTTGATAAATATACAGCAGTGCAGAATTTTTTTTCCCTGGGAATTTGGGTTATATCCGATTAATTTTATGCTGTCTGCGCAATTTGTTAAGCAATGTGAATGCATTCAAAAAGAAACTATGTGTGCATCTTTCAGCTGGTCCATGTGGAAAGAGGATGCCGTGGTCTTGAAGGAAATCCAAGACAGGGCACTGATCTGTAGCTACGGACTGGGACCTCCACTCCCTCAGCGTCACAAGGAGGGAGGTGGCTCCATGCCAGCAGACCAGTGCTTATGGGATGTTTGGTTGTGACTCTGTGATGTGGGCCAACAGTAAACATGAAACGTGACAACAGAAATTCACTCGGATTTTCACCATTACCACTGCGGTCCTAGCTTGATTCTTGTACGTGGAGCGTTTCACCTCCTTCAGTTCTTCTTTCGTCCTATTTATTTGTTTTTCTTAATGTGCTACAAAGCAGCTACGTGCATGAACTGAAAACTGCTTTTTTTTTTTTTTTTTGAATGCTTGGATAACGAGGGATATGAATATTTCAATATGAACATTTCAATTTCCCCTGTCTTTGTTCTGCCTCTGAGCAAATGTAAACGAGACAGGATCTGCAGGTGTACGGTAGTTTTTATAACCAGTAGCTTTGAGAAATTCCGTCGATAAAGAGCGACTCCTGGGACACAAACTGCGGTGGGGAAAACTGCATCACTTCTTGTTTGTTCAAATTAAAACCCAAATTGTACTTAAAAACAGGTAACTGACCTTTGGATTTTTTTTGTTATTAATTTTCCTTCTTGTATTGCTTTATACAATGTCTCAATGTCACCCTAAAATCTTTGAAACAAGAAGTTATGAGGTAAATACAAATTTATTTATATTAGCACCACAAAGAACTGCATGTTATCCCTAACTATACATAGTATCACATACATTCATAGATAATACACATATATAATTATATTAGAAAAAAAGTAAAATAGAGAAAATTGAGGAAAACAAATACAATGTTACAATACAATATATGAACACTGATTGAGTGCAAACCTTATGACTTATTTGCATTATAGTTTAAAAATGATGTTTGTATTCTAGAAAACCTATTCATTCCATTAAATATAACTATATGGTGTTTGAAAAGAAGACTCACTGATAAGGGTTAAACCTTTCTCATTAAATCAACCAAGAGTCAGTCATTGCTGATTTTGATTTTCAAAGAAGGGAGTTCATGCCAGGACATTTAAGAACTTAATGACAGTGTCACTCAGGTAAATTGTAATTGGTTCATTCATATAACTTTTGTACTGAAAATAACCAAAAGTTATTATTACCAAAGTTGCTGTAGTATGTGATGCTGGTGCTGAGGGATGAAATTAGAGAGTAAAGAAGGTTAATTATGAATGTGATTGACCTGATTTTCTCAAGACAGTAGAAACAGAGCTGTTGTTAGCGTAGCCCTTGTGTGGAGGAGGCGCTGAGGAGTTGACTCCAAACCACCAAACCTGAGGCTTTTGCTAACTCTCAGTTTTGACCTGTTGTCACAAAACTGACTGTCAACAGAATGAAACAAGTGCTCCATAGTTTGGGGGCTTTAAATAGACGATGTCTGCCTTCTGTGCATGTGCTCTGCTGTAATAAGATCTGCCAGAAACCACAACTTAATAGGTTTGAGCTTGATAATATAATTTGTTCATTTTCCTTAAAATGCCAATAATTGTAATATATTTTAAGTAATTGATGAAAAATAGTTTTGCTTCTTTTAACTTAAACAGCTAGTATAGACTTTTATTAATAATAGAACTTTATAAAACTCACACTCATTTGCATTCTTTTATGTAGCGGGTGCTTTTATCAAAAGTGACCTACAACTGAGAAAGCAAGGTCAGCGGGTTAAGGGCCTCGCTCAGGGGCACAACGGGTGAAATCTCACTGCTGACCATGGGCCATGAGCTGGTGACCTCGTGTTCAGGAACCCTGCTTCCTAATCTGTTTATCCGCACACCCCCCCAGATTTCTCACAGCGCAGTGCTTTGACAGCACGTGCTGAGTGTGTTACTGACTACAACAATAACGTATTTTTATGAAATGTGCACCACTGCTAAGCTAATGTGCAAACACAAAGTTCCAGGTTTAAGGAATTCTCCACCCTAATTAACCTGAATAAGAACATGCGTGAAGCACGGACTTTGCGCTAATAAATAAATAGTTAATCCTGACGTCTCAGCACCCAAGCAATAAATTAATGTATATCAATCAATTGACCTATAGGGCAGGTTCATATAAAAGGTGCTGTGTGAGAGAGGGCAATATGGCTGAACATCCAATGGCCTAATCCAGGTTTTACACACAACATACACACAAGACCTGCCCTGTACAGGTCTTAGAACTGGCAGTCTCATCGAACATTTACCGGAGAATGACAAACCGAAATCGACGTGTTTATATGGTGAGAGTATCCTCCAGGCTACTTCACAGTACGTGGGGATAAACAAAAAAAAAACGCCACGACGAGGTTTGTTTAAGTCTCTTCTTGTGTCTAAAAAGATAACTGATCCCCCAGATCGTAAAGAAGCGAAGTCGACTCCACGTAGCCGTAAAAGGGGCGTGACGCAGAGCCGCAGGCTACAAGGTGGAAGGCAGAGGGCGGGGAGCCGTACAGCAGCAGCGCGGCTTTTTAATGCCGCGGCACATCTGCCTTTCACAAGCCCCCAGGAAAAAAAAGCAGAAAACCTTTGAAGTGATGTGTGCATTTGGAGCATTCAGAACTACAACCTGATGCGTGGGGGGTGGGAGGATGGGAGGTAGGTACATGCCTCTCAGCAAGCTAATAAGTAATTATGGTACATGCAAAATGATCTCCAAATGATCGAGGACACCAGCGCCCAGGGATTGCACAGTAGTAATTAAGTGTAATTACTGCTAGCCTAAAATGTATATGAGATAAAATGGTCCCAGCACACTTTGTGGGCCTTGTAAATATCATTTTTGAGCATGTAATGCATTTATTACTGCTCACTAATGAAGCGTATAGCAGTGGTGGGAAGAGGAGTTTGCACGATCCAAACCCAGTTAAAGCTCCTTAAAGTGAAGGATTATGGGGTTTATGGTGTGAATGTT